ACATCTCAATGTAAAGAAATCAAGAATCCTCACAACTGGACCTATAAAGCAGCATCACAATAAATGGAGAAAAGATTGAAGCTGTCAGAGACTTCACATTGCATGTTTCTACAACTGATGCCAATAGAAGCAGCATTCAGGATTCAGACAACGTATAATGCAAAACTGGGCATATTGGCTGCAAAGGACCTCTTTCAAGTGGTGAAGAGCAATGATGACTCTTTGAGGACTAAGGTGTGCCTGACCCAAGCCATGGTATTTTCAATAGCCTCATATGCATGTGAGAGCTGGACAATGAATGAGGAAGACCGAAGAAGAGTTGATGCTTTTGAGTTGTGGTGCTGGCCAAGAATGCTGAAAGTACCACAGTCTGCTAAAAGATTTAACAAATCTGTCCTGGTGGAAATGCAGCTGGAATACTACTTGGAAGCAAGAATGGCCAGACTTTGTCTCACATACTTTGGTCCTGTTGTCAGAAGTGATCATTCCCTGGAGAAGGATGTCATGCTTGGTAAGGTGGAGGGTCAATGAAAGAGGTGAAGGTCCTCAAAGAGATGGATTGACACAGTGGCTGTGGTGATGGGCTCAGGCATAGCAAGGATCGTGGAGCTGGCGGGAACCAGGCAGTGTTTCCTTCTGCTGTGCATAGGGTCACTATGAGTTGGACACAACTCGATGGGAACAAACAACAACATAGGATCAAAGACTATATAAGGCAGATAGCATTGGTATCTGAAAGCTGTCCCACTGACTCAATGAACCAATGCTTTTATCTCTCTTTTGTATTGCTGTTATTATTTTCTGTTGAGGTGATTCCAAATCATATGAACCCACAGAACAGAGTAGAACTGTGCCATAGGATTTCCTAGTCTGTAATCTTTACGGGAGCAGATTGCCAAGTCTTTCTCCTGTGGAGCTCCTGGTGGATTTGAACCACAGACCTTTCAGTTAGCAGCCTAATACTTAATTATTGTGCTACCAAGACTCCTTCTCTCTTCTGTAGATAAAGACAAAAGAGAAACAGACATAAACTACAGGAGATAAGAGCTAAATCTCTCTTTTTCATACTAAAACTTTAACCTTTTGTTATAGATTGACTAGTATCCCCTCAAAATATGTGTTGAATTCATAACCTATCTGCCTGTGGTCATCATCCTATTTGAGAATAGATTGTCTTTGTTATGTTAATGAGACAGGATTAGTGTTGAATGTGTCTTGAGTCAATCTTTCGAGATATAAGAGATTTAAACAAGCCAGCTGGAAAGAGGAGATGGAGTAAGATAGATGCCAAGACACACGACAGTCTCCAAGCAACCAGGAAGCAGAAGCTGAAGAGCCAAGGACCTTCCTCCAGAGCCAACAGAAAGAGAAAGCCTTCCCCTATAGCCAGAACCTTAAACTTGCACTTCTAGCCTTCCAAACTGTGAGAAAATAAATTTATCAAAGCTACCCATTTGTGGTATTTATATTATCGCAACACTAGATAATTAACACATCTTCTCATAGTTTAGAAAATTTCCTATTTTTCCTGTTGTTTTGGTTCTCCACTGCCGCTCTAACAGAAAATACCACAAACGAGTGGCTTTAACAAACAGATATTTATTATTTTATAGTCCAGGAGGCTAGAAGTTCAAGTTCAAAGTACCAAGCTCTAGGGGCTGGGTGAAAGCCCCTAGACCTTGGGCTTTAGCTCTGCCTCTTGCTCCCAGCCCACTGAAGCTGAAGGCTTTTCTTAACACAAGCAGCTGATCGCTGCTGAGGCTGACCAACCCAAGGTTGACAAGTAAAATGACACAGTATCAAGATTGTCAAACAACATGGCAGGCCACTAATTCCAGTCTAGAAAAAGTCCCAAGATTGGCAGGGCATGGCAGGCTGCTGAATGAAGGCTCAGCTACATATAGGGTCCAAGCATGTCAAAAAACTCCAGAGACCTTCCACAAAACTTTTTATATACTGAAAGCAGACAACATCCCTAATGCAGCTACTTTGCTGTTCCAGTAGATTCCACCATGGAAGTGATTGCCAATTTCATCCTGGGGAATAACTGTATCCAGCTGCCCAGTCACGCAAAACCAGGCCCAGCCAAGTTGACACATAACCTTAACTACCACACCTGACAAGGTGGATGTAGTAGTTAAGGTTGTGTGTCAAATTGGCTGGCTCATGGTTTTGAGTGGCTTGGAAGCTAGAGGTTACTCTCCATAATGAGATTATAATCACCTCCATGGTGGAGTGTGCTGTGAGCATCTAAGTAGTTAACTTCAAGATGTGGCCTGCTTCCAGTTATATGGGAAAGGTCTGGAGTTTTTTGGCACATTTTGGTTCTTGCATTTGACCAAAGCTTCATCTCCAGTTTTTATACTTGGACCAGTGGTCTGCTGTATTGCCTGCTGATCTTGGGTTTGTGACATTTTACTTGCCAATCATGGGTTTATCAGCCTCAATAGCTAGTACCTGTGTAAGTCAGAGGAAGCCTTCCGCTCTAGTGGGCCTGGAACAAGAGGCAGAACTGAAGCCCAAGGTTAAGGGGTCTTCACCCCATCCCTGAAGCTGGCACTCTGAATTCTGACTTTTAACCTCCTAAACTTTTAGAGAATAAATTCCCGTTTGTTAAAGCCATTCATTTCTGGCATTTCTGTTATTGCAGCACTAGAAAACCAAGACAATGGGTAATGAGTCTTTTCTCTAACCTGGCCTTATACATATAACTAACTTGTTACTACAAAGCTAAAGACATGACTGCATTGTAAAATTCCTTTTTTTGTTTGTTTGTTTACATTTTATTGTATAATTTATGTACAGTGAAATATACAAAACTAAAGTGACATGGGTCAATGCATTTTTTTTTTTTTTTTTGCAGTATTCCTGCATTGTAAAATTCTTAAGATGGGGCTTTATCTGAATCATCTTTGTGCCTAGAAAAACTAGATGTTCAGTAAAATTTTTTTAAACGAATGAAGCCATTACATAAATAATGTGTAGAATAGAAAACAAGTCCTTACATGGTGGCTATGAGTCAAGTGTTTTTGTTTTATTTTCTTTTTTTACCTGACTATATAATGACAAGGTTTGTTACTAGTTTTGGGGTAAATATAAGGTGATTAATGAAAAGTTTTTGCTGAGATTCAATCATTACCACTAAAATTTTGATGACTGAAAAGAGAGAAGCAAGATCCAGTCTATTGGCCCCCTTCTACTATGGCATCCTCCTCTTACTCTTCATACAGAGTGCCTGGGTGGTACAAATAGTTAACATGCTTGACTGTGAAGAAAAGGTTGTATGGAGGTTTGAGTCCATGCAGAGCAACCCCAGAACAAAGGCCTGTTGGTCTACTCTGAAAAATAACCATGAAAACCTATGGAGTTCAGTTCTACTCTGAAACACATGGAGTCACCATTAGCCAGAATTGACTTGATGGCAACTGGTTTTGGTGTTCTTCATATGCAAGCCAAGAACCACCCACCCTCTTTATGCCTAATAGAAAACAAAATAAAACATTTGAATCAGAGATGTTTTGCCCAAATCCAGTTGTTGCTATTCACTTTAAAGTCAAGAAATTAAAAAGATGAAAGTTGTTGAAACTATTTCTGAAATTTGAGCACTTTATTAAGCATGGCAGTTCAAAAAACGTAATGTACGATCTTTTCAAGTTGAGTTATTTCCTACTGGTGTATTTTGCTATTTTTACCAGAAGTTTGTTCTAAGAGAGTGTGGTGAAAATGAGAATTTGTGAGAAAGCATAATAGATAACCAGTCATCAAGATCTCTGGAAATGCTGAAGGGGTAAAAGGAGAGAATGTGTGGAATTTCAGGAGATTATATTCCTGCATATTAGACAAGTGAAGTATTTAGCATACACAAAAGATCGTTGCAGAGACACAAACTCTCAAGGAACTAAGGAGTGAAAACACATAAAAAGAGAAAAAGGCCTAAATGCATTCACACTCTAACACAAGCACACCTACTCCTCACTTATTGACTATCTCATTATCTGACATTTAGCATTTAAAACAATAGTAAAAAATCTACTACCTGATTATTTTGCACATTAATGACACACATCTGGCAGTAATGAACGCCAAAGTATAAGCAAGAGTAGTGCTGGCTGTGATGGTTAAGGTTATGTGTCAGCTTGTTTAGGCCATGATTCTCAGTGGTTTGGCAGTTATATAATCAAGTAATCATCTTGTGATCTGATGTGGTCATCCTCCCTTTTCACATAACAGCAATTTTTACATAAAAACCTGGTCTTTGAAACTTAACCATGTCAGTAAGTGAGAAGTGGGTGTAATGCTAATTACAGCTAAGTAGTTCCTGTCTTTTTTGCCATTACTCAGTAGACCAGAATGAGATGGTAGAGTAAAAGTGACTTGAGAATAGTAAAAAATGCAGTAGCTTAAGATCTATTTCTAGGATTATTAATAAATTTTGTTTATTTTATACAAAGAGAACAAGATAGAAAGAGATTGAGCTTTACATGTACATATGAATGTGTGGAGAGTTAACAGAAGTAAGAGTGGTTCCCAGTAGTGCCAGGGCCTTTGCCATAGTGGTTATGCATAAGAATGATGATGGCAATTGGAACGATAGGTTCACAGAGGGCAAGCAACAAGGATGTCCTAAGTGAGGGCCACTTGGCAGCCAGAGCTAATAATGCAACAGGCTCACTGTCCTGGCTCTACAACTAAGCACTGTGGTTTTTTTTTTTTTTTTTTTTTTTTTTGCTTTCAAGACAACTCTGACTCATGGCAATGCAATGTGTGTCAAAGTAGAACTGTGTTCCATAAGGTTTTTAATAGATGATTTTTTTGGGGAAGTAGATCACCAGGCCTTCCTTCAGAGGCACCCCTGGGTGGACTCAAACCGCCATTCTTCATGTTATCAGCTAAGCACATTAATCATTTGCACCACCCAAGATACCATGAAAATTTTAGAATGACAGTAATAAACACAAACTAAAATGAAAGAGATATATTAACATTTTCTTTGTTTCTAGGAGAGTGGACGCTCCCTTTCTCTTCCTGGAAGATCAGTCCCACCCACCATCTCTACAATACCTTCTTCAGTGTACCAGCCTGCTTATAGCTACTATGGCAACCCATCTGGTGGGCTAGAAAAAGCAAACAAGAGGCTAACTCCTTGGGAAGCGGCAGCAAAGTCTCCTCTTGGCCTAGTGGATGATGCCTTTAGACCCAGAAACATCCAGGAATCCATTGTGGCAAACGTGGTCTCAGCAGCTCGGAGGAAGGTGCTCTCAGGGCCCTCAGAGAATTGGAAAGAGAGAATGTCCTATGTCCCTCAAACCCAAAAGACCAATATGAGCTCATTTGGAAGGCAACAGTATAGTGTACCATCCCTACCCAGTAATAGTATATCTACCAGCTCCCAATATGGTTCACAATTACAGTATGCATATTCTAGGCAGCCTTCCAGAAATGATTCTGAGTTAATGTCCATGGAAACCAGATCTGATTACTGTCTGTCAGTAACTGATTGCAACTATAACCCACACCCAAGGGGATGGAGGCGCCAAACATGAAAGTTAAAAGAACCTGATTACATACTACCTATAATAGCAGCAACAAAAAATCCTCCTTTGTAGGAATTCTTATTTTTCTAGTAGATTCACTTTTGGTCTTAGCCTGTTCTCAAAAATCACTTATCAGAGTGTGTGTGTGTGTGTGTGTACGCACCTGAGTGTGAGTCACTTCTTTGTCTGCTGATACATCATTTCTTTGAAGAAAAATTTTATTTTCTGCATTGATATGCTAGCACTCATGTGTAATTCTTACTCTTAATTCCCCTTATATAGAGTAGTCTAGACAACTAGACTCTGCTCAATTAAAATGAAAATAAGTGTTTTCTTGCATGGGCTTTAGTCCAGAAAGAAAGTAATGAAAGACTGTGTGCTGATTGCCACTAACTGTAATAGCAAGGAGTATAATGCTGGAGAAGTTTTCAATATGAAAAAGCCAGTGGATAATGATTATACAGAAAGGATTTTCTTGATGTTATGTTAAGTATTTTTCTGAAACATTAGAAATAAACCTAATATAGTGCTTTTTTTTTTTAAGAAACGGAAATATAGGAGTTCTCAGAAAGAAACAATATATGAGAATAAGAATTATACATTTTAGAAGGACTTTTGAGGTAAATGGTACAATGTGTGGGGAGTAAAAAGATTTTGATATAGGAACTAATCCATTGAAAGCCAGGAGCCCTGATGGCACAGTGGTTAAGCACTTGGCTTTTAACTGAAAATCTGCAGTTCGAACCCATGAGCCCCTCTGCAGGGGAAAGATGTGGCAGTCTGCTTATGTAAAAGATTACAGCTTTGGAAACTCTATGGGACAGTTCTAATCTGTCTCATACAATTGCTATGAGTTGGAATCAATTCAATGGCAATGATTTTTGTTGTTTTTAGCCTAGACAAATAATCTGGGTCCAGGCATCCTCATTAGCAAAGATGCTAATCTCTTAGATCCTTAACAGCTCTGATATTCTAAGATCCTCTCCTCAGTAGAAAGATGTTACATGCACTGTTAATTTTTGTTGCTTATTATATAAATATCAGATTATATATAAGAGTGGTTTAGGTAATTATTAGGAGCTCTGGTAGCATAGTGCCTAAGGCACTTGACTGCTAACCAGAAGGCTGGCGGTTCAAACCCACCAGCCACTCCTCGAAAGGAAGATGGGGCAATCTACTTCCATAGTGATACTGCCTCGGAAATCCAAGCAGGGGTCGCTATGAGTCGGGTCCGACTCGACGGCATATAACAACAACAACAACTAGGTAATTATTGTCACTACATGGGTCATTAAAGGTCTCAAAAGGAATTGGTGGGCAGCAGGTTTTGTGTTATGTGCTCCATGGAGTGAGGGTTGAAGTAAAGGAAAAAAACTTAATGGATTGGAGGAAGTGATAGATGGATGTGTCTGTTAATATGCAACCGTTGGTCATGACCATTTATGTAGCTATAGAAACATGCCACAGAAGCCTACACACCTAGTGGTGCTTCTGTAGAAAACTGTCATTAGAATATTGAAAGGAAGTGAAACAGCTATTTCATCAGTCCCATGCCCCATGCATTGTTACCATGCCCAGGAAACAGATCAAACACAACTATATGCTCCTTACTGCCATGCTCACAAAGTGTTAAATAAAGACCAATTCAAATTATTTTACATCATAAGCAAGTATTGAGAATATTTTAAAATAAAAAGGAACTTGAAGTATTCAGAATTCTGCTAGTTTTAAAAATGTGCCTATTTTTGTTTCATTTTACTTTTTAACTCTTGAACTTAACATTATGGTGGACTCTTTCAAAGAATAATACTTTAAAGAAAAAACACAAGGATATAAGTATCTCTCATCGTGGAAATAAAAAAAGAAAAATAAATTGAGATTTTAAAGTAAGTTCTCTTACTGATGGAACCACCCAGATAATTTGTTCAGTTGTAAAGAAAGGAAAAGAAGAATATGTTCCAAAGTGACATTTTTAAAGGATTTTTTAAATGTATAGTATTTTAATTATCTCAAATAATAAGATATAATCATTGACTCCTAAGTGTTCCTAAAGAATCCTAAAGAGTAATGTCTAGTATACTGATTACTTTGTCAACAAATTCTCAGGAATCCCCGATATAAAGTATTGCATACTTCAAAGTTTATTATAGTTGAATCATTCTAGATTTGAATGTTTTAAGATACAGGAAATTTAGTAGAAAAGACTGCCTGTCAAGACCTCCTATTTTGTTGCTTTCTTTTATCAATACTAGGAATTATTTTCATCACTTTATGTGTATTATATTATTCACTGAAACTTTCACTAGACTCAAAATAGAAAAAAGTAGATATTTTAAAGTTCAATATTAATAAGATAGACTTGGTTGTCTTTGAATGTCTTAGACCAAATTTATTATTTGAAGTATGGTATCACTATCTGCATTTATTCTAGACATCAAGAAAAAGACAATATAGGAAAGCTGATTTTTTTTTAAATTCACAATGAAATGAAAACCTCTTATATTGTTAATGGAAATGGATGTGTTTCAAGAAGTTATACTTTGCAGATGTTCTGAAAGCAAAAGTGCCATTGTCAAATTTTCACAAAGTGTATTATGGGTAAATAACTCTATCTCTTTAGAAACAAAAAAAGTTAGATTGCTTATATTCAAGCTAATGATTGAGACAAGACACTTGCCCCCTGAGATGTGATTCTTATGTTTGAGAAGGTCTAGAAATTACTGTTTTCACAAAAATAAAATGAGATGGGCTCATATTCCAACTACTAGTCTGGTTAAGGAAAAGCTATTGTTTTATAAACACATACAACATTTTAAAGAAAAGTCTGTACTAGTAGAAATAATATAGATAGAAAGAGTTTGTTTTAATGTAGATTAATAAGCATTTTCTAAAAGTTTACTATGCCAGTCACAGGGACACTAATTTAGCACCTTCTTTCCATCTTGAGTTTAAAAATCAAAACCATTGCATGTGTGTGAAGTGTCCATTATTAACATATTTTCAATTCTGTCTTCTACTTTAAGTTTGATAAATGAATGCAGAGATTCTATTCCATTTATCTCTCTCTGAATGCATCTCTTTTATGTTTGGCACCATTACTCATAATGCAAAGACCTCATATTAGAGCTCAAGAATACATATGTTTATTTACTTAAAAAATACACACACACATATATATACATATATTCATGAGTCTCTGGGTGACACAGTTATGTGCTTGACTACTAGTCTAAAGGTTCATGGCTCAAATCCATCCAGAGGCATCTTGGAAGAAAGGCTGGCAATCTGCTTCTGAAAGGTCACAGCCTTGAAAACCTAATATAACAGTTCTCCACGCACATGAGGTCATCATGACTCGGAACCAACTCACTAGCAACTAACAACAACATATATATTTATTGTACAATTCAATTCATAAGTATATACACATCAAGAATATATATTTATGAATTAAGACTGAATAAATAGACTTAGTTATTATAATTAGAGTAATTGCAGAAATGTTTGTTTTTAACAATAAGTAGGTTTTCACGTTTAGTTTCTATTCAAAGTAGAATTATCTCCACTTGCCACTAATTTCTATTCAAAAGAAGGGGGGAGGGAGACCGTGTTCTCTTCCCAATCAGATTGACATTTCCACTTTGTTCATTCCAAAACACTGTATTTGAAAGATGCTTACTGAAATTCAAAATTGTATTAGTAATAAAATAACTTGAAAATCAAGTTAAAAAGTCTTTTCATTTTTCCTTACAAAAATTGTTTTGAATTACTCTTCACCCCAAAGAAGATTTAATCTTATCTACCACATATTTTTAAATGTTATTTTCCATGATATCAGCTTTCAGACACATTAAAAGAATTTCATGCCGAATGGTAACATTTTAACTGTAACATTTAAAAACATTTTTGTTTACTTACCTAAAAACATGATCATGTAATTTAGGAAGTTTGTAATGCACTCATATTTTAATATTATTTTTTATTAATTTTCTCCATTATGGTATATTGAAAATTAGCCCACAGCACAACTTCAGCCAATAGTAATATAACTCAACAATATATTGGTTGAATTTCTAAAGCCCTCTTGACTCTCACTCTAATCTGTTATGTTTGTCATTATAGTACTTCCAATTATTTGTCTTTTTTAGGCTGACCCTCTACTTTAACAAGCATGATGTCCTTTTTCAGGAACTGGTCCCTCCTGGTAACATGTGCAAAGTACATTACACAAAGTCTCACCATCTGTGGTAGGTTATGTATCAACTTGACTGGGCCTGGTTTTGAGTGGCCGGGCAGCTGGATGTAGTTATTCCCCATAATGAGACTGGCAATCAACTCCATGGTGGAATCTACTGTGAGCAGCTGAGTAGCTGCCTTAGGATGTGATCTATTTCCAGTATATAAAAAGACTCTTTGAGAAAAGTCTTTGAGACCTTTACTCTCTAATTATAAGGCAAGTCTTCATTCAGCAGCCTGCCACATTGCCTGTTGATCTTGTGACTGTTTCTGGACTTGAACTAGAGGCCTGCCATGTTGCTAAATAATCTTGGGACTGGGCCATTTTACTTGTTGACCTTGGGTTTGTCAGATTTAGCAGTCAACAGCTGCTTGAGTTAAGAAAAGCCTTCAGCTTCAGTGGGCTGGGAGCAAGAGGCAGAGCTGAAGCCCAAGATTGAGGGGCCTTCACCCGCCCCTCCAGAGCTGGCACTTTGAACTCAGACTTCTAGCCTCCTAATCAGTAAGAAAATAAATCCCGGTTTGTTAAAACCATCCACTTGTGGTATTTTCTATTAGAGCAGCACTAGATAACCCAAACACCATCCTTGGTTCTAAGGAGCATTCTGGCTGAACTTCTTCCAAGGCAGATTAGTTTGTTCTTCTGGCAGTCAATGGTATGTTCACTATTCTTCATCAACACCATATTTCAAATGTATCAATTCTTCCACAGTCGTCCTTATCCACTGTCCACCTTTTGCATGTATATGAGGCAATTGAAAACATCACGGCCTCGGTCAGGCACAC